GATCGCCCTAAACAGTAGCAACAAACATTTTTTTACTTTTGCAACACAAAGAATGAACGAATTGCTTCACTACAGTTAATCACATGTGTCTTTTAAAACATCGTAGAGTTTAAAATAGCATTCATTGGGATCATGTTTGGAACACACTGTGGAATCGGTGGAGGTATATTTGAGGGCTTTGGGGATATATCAGTCAAAAAGGTTGGGAACCACTGCATTACAAGAAAAAAAGAGAGGGAACAGTGTGCACTTCAAACCTTTCTACTACTCACCACTGTCCAGTTTTAACCTAGCCCTAGTGCCTTTTAGTCAAACCTTCAGTGAAAAACACTAAGCTAAAATCAGCACAGTGGATGTTCTGACTGTCTGTTTTTCCCCTCACTGCTGTAGTTGCCTCTCGGTGGTGGGGCAGTAAGAGGATGGACTATGCTCTTTACTGTCCTGATGCCCTGACAGCATTTCCAACCGTGGCTCTGCCTCATCTTTTCCATGCCTCCTACTGGGAATCTACGGACGTTGTCTCATTTATACTCAGACAGGTTCTCTTTCAATTGATTTTATTTCTTTGATGAGACTGGAAATGTCTTGAGAGCTGTAATCACTAAAGTGTTTTAAGTTGCATAGTTCCAGGGATGATAATCTCAGTCATTGCTTTTTTAAAATTAAATATAAGACCCCATTCCTTTACAGAAAATTTGGTACAATAGGTTCACCAAGCTTTCTACATTTCTTTTTTTCCCCCATAAACATTAAAGAGAACAGAATCTACATCATAGACATTCATACTCAGCATTTTCATTCTTCTGATTAATGTTAATTTCATTTCCTGTTGCAGGTAATGAGACATGAGAATTCTGGTATTTTGGAGCTGGATGGTAAAGAAGTGTCTGAATTTACTCCTTCAAAACCTCGGGAGAAGTGGCTTCGAAAGAGGACTCATGTTAAAATTCGGGTAAGAGGTCTTTATGGTATCTCCACCTGACAGAGGCAATGCTGAACTTTTAAGATGTGGATACAAAAGAGAGATTTTTGACTTAAACATCCATAAAGTATCTCTGTTATATTTTCGGAGGGCATAGGTTTGGCTTTAGAAGTATTTCAGGCAGCAGCAAAAATGACACAAAGGGAGAAAAATGGATGTTTTATTTACCTGAAAGGCAAATTTACAAAGAAAATCTGAGTTTCTAATGATCCAAACTTTGGAGACCTCAACATCATTCCCTAAAAGACTAATTTATCATCAGAAAATGTCATGTCACACATACTAGAGCCATCCATTTATCCATTTTCTTCTGCTTGTCCAATTAAGGGTCATGGGGGAAGCCTATCCTAGCTACCATAAGGCGAGAGCCAGGAAACCCCCAGAACAGATCGCCGGCCTGTCACAGGGCCGACACTGAGAGACAGGCAGCCATTGTCATACTGTTCACGTTCACATCTAGTTCACATACAACTTTAATTACCCCACTAACATGCTAAGCATAAAACATTTGAAATAATGCCAAGCTAAATTTGTTCCAACTAAATATTAGATTATCATTGCTTTCTTTTGACAAGGCTGTGTATAAGCTATTGTTAAAGATTAAGCAAGTTTTTTGATTTTCATACTTCAGATATCTGTTAGTTACTAGCATATCTACCAAGAAAACATTTTCTCTCTAAACATTTACTAGAATAGAATAGAATAGAATAGAATAGCCCATAGCCCTGCATAAGATATAAGCAGCAAGACATAAGTAGAGGATTTCAGTTATTCTGGAAAAAAAGGTATCCAAAAAGTTCTTGAAGACAATACGTTAGTCCCAAATGTGCCAAAGAGGCATTTCACAGGACAAACAATTTAGGAAAAAAGCACCTCCAATGAGCTGATTAACATTTCAGTCAAGTTCTCGTCATCTCATTTTGGCAGCAAAAACAGTAAGAGAAGTCTCAAGAGAGGCTTTAGAGAATTGAAACTGATTTCCTGTTTTGGTTGCTTCTCAGAATGTGACAGCTAATCATCGCGTGAATGACGCCGTGTTCACAGAGGATGGAGTGCAGACACTGACGGGACGTTTCATGTATGGTCCTCTGGACATGGTCACACTAACTGGAGAAAAGGTAATGACTGACATGTTTGGCTGTTAGGAACAAAAAGAAAAAAGAGATGGTTTGTATTCAAGCCATGTTTTGTTTTTTTTTTTCTTTTTCTTGCAGATTGACATTCACATCATGACCCAGCCTCCCTCTGGAGAGTGGGTGTACTTTGACACGGAGCTCACTAACAACAGTGGACGTGTCTCTTATGTAATTCCAGAGAGCAAGAGGCTGGGTATCGGGGTATATCCTGTCAAAATGGTGGTCAGGTATGCTGAGTTGTAGTAATTTCACAAGGAGAGACGCATACTTGTATGAATTTCATCATATTTACCAGTTGCTGTTTCTCTAATAGGGGCGACCACACATTTGCAGACAGCTATCTTACTATTGTACCACGAGGAACAGAGTTTGTTGTATTCAGCATTGACGGGTCATTTGCTGCCAGCGTCTCAATAATGGGGAGTGACCCTAAGGTTCGAGCAGGGGCTGTGGATGTGGTAAGGTAAGGAGAACACCAGCATGCTTGGTAGGAATACTACTCTGCAGTAATATATAGTGTAAAACGTCTAGATAGTACAAATCAAAGTTGTGGACACAAACAAAAACTCCGTGGCAAAGACCAAAACAGATTGTTGTGGAATGTTGTCTTGGCAACTTGTTCTCCATACTTCATGGTGGAAAATTCATATGCAGATATGAGCAGTTCACTACACTCTGCATCTCACATGGAGCCACATATCTCACATTTGAATCTGGTCTAAAGTCTGCCCCTTTTGTATGTTAGTAAGACAGAAGAAGCAACACAAGAATTGCTTCTCTAGGTCAAAAACATCACACAATGCAAAACATTCCTCTCCACAGTGAAGGCATAAATGGATAAATGACCACAAACACATGGTCTACTTGCTGCATGGACAAAGGTACTGAGGCTGGGGTTCTCCACTCTCTCAGCTCAGGTACTTGCAGGACTAATTGTTGTGTGAAGCTTACACATTACTGTTACAGCCAAAGGTGAATGTTTTGAAAAATGTAAAATTGAAAAACACATTTTCTTTCACACATTTTTGTTATTTTATAGTTTTCTTCTAAACTATTGAGAATAAATACTACTCCCCTGGTATCTGTAGTTTTTACATGTGCTGCATCTTGGGAATATTTATGTGAAGTAATGGCAGAATATTAATTTTCTGAACAACATATCACTCCCTTTTAGCATGGAAGTCAGCTAATCCAAACGTGACTCCTTCTCAGGATTTTTATTCTTTATTGTTTGTAGGTACTGGCAGGACTTGGGCTATCTGATAGTCTATGTCACAGGTCGTCCTGACATGCAGAAGCAGCGTGTTGTTGCCTGGCTCTCCCAGCATAACTTCCCAAATGGCATTGTCTCATTCTGCGACGGCCTGGTGCATGACCCTCTCCGACACAAGGCCAACTTCCTCAAAACCCTCATCAACGAGGTAAGTGAGGGCAGGGAGAGTCTGTAATAGCAATGCAGCAAAATCCTTCTAATGTCTAAAAGTTTAAACTCTTTGTATTTGATTAGGCCAACATGAGGATATTTGCTGCCTATGGCTCCACCAAGGACATATCAGTGTACACTTCTATTGGCCTGCCTCCATCTCATATCTATATAGTGGGAAGGCCCACAAAGAAAATGCAGCACCAGTGCCAGGTCTGATAGTAAATTAATTGTGGTAAATTAGAAATTAGCCCACAATTGATGCATTGCATTGATGCTGAGTAAACCCAGTTTAATTGACTGTTAATCTGTTCCAGTTCATCCTGGATGGCTATGCTTCCCACCTATCTCAGCTGGAGTACAACCAAAGGTCTCGCCCTGCCAAGACCGCCAGTACCCGTATGGTCCTCCGGAAGGGCAGCTTTGCTCTGGGCACAGCTGGAGGAGACTTCCTCCGGAAACGGAACCACATCTTTCGCACCATCTCCTCTCAGCAGCCTGGAGGGTCGGGGTCATGCTCACCCAGCCAGCCAGGCCGGACTGAGCGCACGCTCAGCCAGTGTGAAGTGGAACGCGATAGAGGGGTCACAGCAGCAGCACAGAGGAGTATGAGTATAGCTGCGGGGTGCTGGGGGCGCAGCAGCAGCACCAAGGAGGGCAGTGTAGGCTTACATGGCCCCAAGTAATGTTTAAATAAAAGCTTTGGTATAAAGGACCCTGGCTGAGCCACTATGATCTCTGGACTAAGATAAAAGAAAGGTGAAGAAAAGATGTGAGCGTGTGGATGATGGGTCTGTGGAAGGAATACACATACATGGTTTAGCATAAATAACCCATAATTAATAGAGATTAGGAAGGAGCGATAAGTAGGGATCTGTCCAGGAGGAGTGGACTAATCAGGCCAAGTGGGATCTAGAGAACAAAACAGTTCTGTAGCATGACTCTTTTACAGTAATACTTTTATAGGATATACCACTATTTAAAAAAAAAAATGACAAAGGAAGGATTAAAAAAAAGAAATTGTAAGCCTTAAACTAATCTCGTCTAACGGGAAACCCTCCCTTCTCCTTTCCAAACAACACACTGTCCAAACATTCACACTCATGAGCTCAGGACAAACTGCAGAGCCAGATTGATCTTCAGACAGTCAACCATGGGACTGAGGCTAAGTTCGTTTGGCAGCCGTGGCAAAGGGCCAGTGATTTACACTTGAGTTTCTTTTCCACTGTTTTGGAACACAGCAGTGACTGGCAATAAGTATAGAAAACCCTCATGATGCAAAAACAGAAAAGCAAATCTATCAAAAAGTAAGTAGAGACCAAATGGAGACCTTACTGTAAAGGATCCGTTCATCCAAACTCTACCAAAAGAGATTCTATTAGTAGCTATTTTAACTAGCCACAGCATGTTAGTGTAAACAAAATCCATCCAGAAGGTTGTTAGGTTAGATGCTTTAGTTACTCTCTTCCCATTTCTTACCATCAGCCTGTCAGCTGGCTTCATAAAGGATTCGCCAATTCCATTTTACTCCACCCTATTTATCTGGCTGGTACTTTTTGGTTTTATTTGTCCAGAAGTATCTAAACATTAAGATGATGTAAATGTAGGTGGAAGTATTTTCTGTCATGAAAATGTACCTGAGAGTCTGCCAGGGTCCAAACTCTCTTTGTTACCACCTAAAATCACCATGCTAACAAGCTAAACCAGATTAGGAAAAAAGCTTGCAGCGTTGTTACTGGAGAAATGATAGCATGAGAATGCTAGCATTGAGTTAAGTGTAATGGACCACAAACGAATTACCTTCATGGTATTGTGCTGGCAGAGATTTTAAAAGAATCTCTAAATTTTCTATTTTTAGATACCAAAAGATATGAATAAAGAAATGTGTATTTTGGATGAATTGATCCTTTGAACAATAAGGGCTGGATTTGTGAAATATACTGCATCACAGCGGAAAGTACTTGTCGTCTTAGTCACAGATCAGTCCTGTTCATGCTTCTTAAAACATACTGATAGCAGATCGGCCATTCAGTTTTCATTCCACCCTGTGTGAAACTCTATAGTATTTTCTGTTTCCGTGTGGCCTCTGGGCCATCCAAGGCCTTAATATCCCACAAGACACTTTCTTTGCAGAGGATACGGAAAGCAGAAAAACAGGGCATGCAGCATTAAAGCAACAACTGAGACTCTGTACAGTCCACAGCAACTATCCCTTTATTTATATATATATCTATATATATATTCATCTGCTTGCAATACCTCAGATCCACCTGCTGGTGGTGTTTTGTTTCCCATAGTTGCTGCTGCTGGGAGACACTTTTGTGGTGTTTCCTGGGTATTTGCTCTTTTTTCTCATAGGATATAATGCAGGCTGGACCTGGAGCCTGTTTCATTTCAGACTGAACTGGAAGGGAGCGCTTTCACTCACAAAGATGTTTCAGTATTTGTACCAAATGGACTAAAGAATGAGCCGAAGTGATTCAGCTCGAATGTTGAAATGACTGAATTATCAGTGTGTGTGAAGTATGGGAGATGAGTCCCATTGGCCTCTCTTTCCCTTTAAAGAAGATGAAGCCACCTCACATCTCTGACCCAAATCCAAAAAAACCCAAAAACTATGGGCACATAGCAGGCATAAATGTCACTGTTTAAATAATAGGTAAAAACATTTACAGGTATGGTAAATAAAAAAGTCAGGTGCCTGTGTGAACACTGAAACAGTAAAACTAGCCATGAAGACATACCCTACACAGTGTGCTTCCAGTTTAGGTGATAGTGGACAGAATCCACTAAGCTTATTTTTGGCAAATGTTAACAACTAAACAACATCTCTTGAAAAATTTTAGCCAGTGTTCAGGGTGTTCTACTAAGGGCTGCACAAAACTGAATGACAAGACCTTTTAATGTATACCTTTAAAATGATCCAAATTCAGTCAATAAGAGCTAAAAATGTTTTTTAAAAAAAGTGTTTATGAAGATAGTTAAAAAAAAGGCCATATACTCGATTTTTAAAATCAACCCTTCTTATATTGCAATAGAATTGTTTTAATATAGCTAGTTTTTAAAGTTATTCATTTTTATACACACCCTGTAATAATTTGACTTGACCTGACACAAAGATGAAATTTAAAACCTTGGAAATCATTTACTTTAATCTTTTAAGCCAAATTTTCAAAAGAATATTTATAATAGTAATAACAAGCATAAATCCTAATGTGTTTTTGCATGAACTGGAAGTCTAAGTCTAAACAAATGATACGTAGTTCTACATATGGATGCTTGGTATAGACTTAAATAATTATAACTACAACCGTTTCAGTGTTCAGATGAGCATCTGGCTATTTCTGAAGCATGAAAAATTGTGAATCTGTCCTTTAAGCCTTCGTGTAAGGATGTATGGAGCAGCCGCACTGCTTGTCACCCTCATTTTACTATGCTGTTATTTCACATGCCCAGTTTCCACACTACACAAGAGTGCATCTGTTTCCAGTCTGTGTGATCCAGACCGTCTTGAACCCACCACAAAAGCCAAAATCATTCTCTAATACTGTAGTTAATCAACAGCGTAACCTCATTATCCTTTTTTGCACTAGTTTACAGTGGAATATACTGTAGTTACCATCTCATGTTGCTGCATTTGAACACCTTTGTAGTGCATGACATTTTTTATTTATGTCAGGATATGATATATGTGCTGGTATGCATACGTCTGTACATTTGGTCACAATATGAAAATGATGTACGTATATGTGCCAAATAGTTAACAAGGAACTCTACAGAAGTCTTTAGACCAGGAGTTTTCAAAGCCTGATATTGTGCTCCCCCACTGATGCACATCTATGCCCACACTCTGTGTTCTCTTAACAGGCATATTTTTCTGTTTGGTGGATGATTATTCTCAAAGTTTTGGAACTACAGTAACTGTAATTCTTTAAAAATTAGTGCAATCTAATGTAGACTCCTGAAGTTTACCTTTAAAAGCGCACTTTTCCTTCTTATGTTATGTTATCTTACAATAACATGACATACAAAAACCTGATTTCTTTGTGCTATTGGCTACATACACAGCACACCCAGAAATATCCTCCTGAGAAGCGAGGAAAAAACAATCTTTCTATTGAACTTTTTTGTGATTTCCTTCCTCTTTGGAGATAAAAGACAAAACCCATGAAATATCAATGGAAATCCCAGGATGTCATCTATTTAGCACATCAGGACTTAGTAGGTTAGCTCAAATAAGTCAAAAACAAATGTCCATTACAGAGGACACATAAATGAATGGGCTGGTTCTCAGGAGGATATAACTCTCAGATAATCAGTGCTGCTCCTCAGCAAGCTTCCAGCAGTTGGGCAGTCAGAAGAAAGGGGGCTTTTTGGGGTCCATTTAAGGTGTCCACCTTAAATGGACAAACAGGATCTTCTAGTTGTGAAGCAACAGTACTTACTGCTCTACTACTGTGCCACCATACTGCAAGAGGTGTCTCTTCAAATCCATTTCCTAATTTTCCTACTATCTACTGCTGTCTTTGTTTTCATTTGGTTTCAAAGGTGCAAAATGAGAAAGATTTCAAGTTTAAAATCTTCTTTTTACTGAGTAGACAAGGGTTTTTTGTTGTTGTTGGTTAACCCAGATACTTAGAAGACTCATTGAGGAATCCAGAAAATCATTTAGAACAATGGTGACTATTTTTTTAAAGGAATGTAATTAGCTTTGTGACTTGACTACATGCTGATATCTGAGAAGCACAGACTATGGCTAGAGGATTAGGAGTTTTTCTTATCTTTGTTTCTTTTCTTTAAAAAACAAAATAAAAGATTTTGGCCCCATTAAAAGCATTTTAGCAATTGTCTTAGCTATTAGCTCTTCCTGTTTGCACTGTACCCATGAAGAACTGTCTGCTTATTAGTCATGGGTACTGGATATAGCAATGTCTTCTGAAAGTCTATGGCCCATTGAATCTAAAGATACATATATCACATAGATCCACTCATTTTTAACTTGGAAATTAAAGGGCCAAAAAAGACAACTAGTGCTTCCTGTTGCTCTCAAACACTTCTGTGCACCTGTACAATCCACCTGACACAGATGGGAGGTTGTCATAGTTTGAAAACCCCTGATGCATACTGTATCCAGCCTTTCGTAAGAAGGGGAAGTGTGTACTGAGAGCAAACGTCTTAATGCTTTGACTGGATTTTGATTTGCTGACTACATAATATTAAATTGAATGTTGCATGTGAAAAAAAAATGGGCAAAATGTTTTGACCTTGTAGAACAGAGTCTGAGCGTGCTGCCAAAACCTTGGACAATATGCTAGACTGAAAGAAGTCCTGGAGTTTAAGTGTGACTGCCTGTCGTGATGTGGGTGGTTTTATGGATGCAAACACTTTTTCCCATTTGGCCATTTTGGCTGCTGAGTTGAATGTCTGTCCATCTGGATTCTGACACTGTTCAGGAGCCAAGGATGTGTCACTGTACATACTGTAAAGATATATATGTAGGAAATATAGGGTCGAGGTTTATTTATTTATTTAAGGTTCATGACGTTACTCTGGAAATTTCAGGTGAACTATAATGGAAATATGTAGCATTTTATTTGTCATTTTGGCAGTCATTGAGGCTATGGACCAACACAGGAAGCTTTTATGTTCCTACCAGTGCAATATTGTTCTTCACATCACAGCAGGGGCACAATCTACCACAATACAATCTACATGCAGTCTGAAAGCATACATGTCCATACACTACGTGCAGCTTTTTCACACCATGTGAAAACTGTTTGTATTTGAGCTGCTGTAGACATCTGCTGTCTCTTACAACAGTCAAGTATGTTTTATAGGACTATTGTACCTATTTTTCAAGCTGCAGTATTTTACAAAACCTTTGCAATATAACTCAAGACATTTTTTCTCAGCCAGCAGTAGGTGCATGGAAAAGTAAAAGCCCATAACAGAAAACAATATTTAACAAACTGTTGCTTTTTGTCTAATCCGACTTAAAATTACATAACCTACACTGGTAAGAATAATAAATGAACTCTTCTCCACTATGTCCTTACAATTAAACTGAACACTTACATATAAAAACAAAAACAAACAGCAGAATATATTTCCTGTAATCACAATTATTGCCACTTTGGGATAAGAATGATTAAATATAGAGACCTACATCTTTAGTTTTAAAAAGTGCATTATTAGTTTGTGGTTTCACTTTCTAATAACACACCCTTTGTGAAAGGGTAAACATTATTGTATGCTGAATAAGTCACTGGACACGTTAGTCCAAAGAGACCACTTTTCATTTCAGTCTATGAGATGACTGCTCAGTTTAGCTTTAATGCTGACACTGTGAAAAATGTTAGCACCCACTGTTGCTTCTATGAACAGCATTTTAGCAAACTAATTATTTGGCACTTATTGAAAATTCATGTTTAAAACCTTCCTACATTTTCTAAAGCTAATAAAAGTATTTGTAATGACTTCTGTAAACTCATACCTGAAACATGTATGTATTGTACTGAAGAGGTAGTCATGTAAAATGAAAGCATGCCTACTGATTAAAGTTCTTAATTGATGACTATTTAGTATTTATAATAGGATTACAAATGTTTTTAAAAGCCATTATAAGTGAAACAAAGCTGCCAAATAAAAGTCGGTTTTGATTAATATCTTTAAATGAATAAATCTTTTAGAAAAAGTTCCTTATTAGAAAGTGGGACTGACAATTTATTGATGTCCACCTTTAGCGCCATATCATATTTTGTATGTACACATCTGAAATATAATGCCGCAGATGCTGTAGGACCGTGACAAAGTGTATAGTGGCAATAATTAATATACACTTTCAATATATGCATAGTATGGGATTAGAGTCACATGCACAAAATTTATTTTAACATCATCTAGTTTTTATAAGCAGCACTATAAACACTTAATGGTTTATAACACATTAAAATGTAGCTCTACATATTCATTTATTATATTTGTAGCAATTTTAATTGCCCTGTAACCATTACTGCATCATTAATTCTTGCTTTATGTGTGATTTCCATTTGTTTTACTTTTTTTTATATATATATAATTGCAGGAATAGACAAACACTTTGTATCTGCTTACAGTTTCATTATTGCATCGTTAAATGTTTATATACTGCTTATATTTGCTAGGAAAGGGTTGCATAAAATAGTACTTCTCTGCGCCATGTTAGCTGTTGCATAGATTGTCATTACCCATTTTATATGTTTTAACTGATTCTTTGATCCATGACACTGACAGCCAGTAACTAAGATTCCACATGTACTTAATTAGGGACACCAGAATTACTTTTCCAAGTGATTTAGACTCACATTTTCAGTAGGTACAGATGTGTCCTTGTTCATACAGTATGTGTTCTGGTAGATTTATGACCCCCAGCACTCACCATTATCCTCTGTACTGTGGAATAAATATAATTGGATGATAAATTACCATGTGTTTGTGTGTTCTTTTTAGCCTAGTCTTAAACATTTACATACAATTATGTATAAATCCGGGGCTTACAACCAGCTGAGGAGTGAGATCCCACTGTGATGTCTGAAGCACAGTGTTTCAAGCACTGATGTCTTGGTATTTAGAAATAGGAAGCACCGAGTGAGAGGTAGATCTGGGCCTAACTTTGAGTTTGTTAACTCTGCAATCGGCAACTCTGAGTTTTTTTTGTTCCAGAACAACTAATCAGCTTTGGAGCAGATACTGCAAGGCTTGTAAAGTAGCGACTAGTCAATCACAAGTTTGGCTCATCCAAATGTGTACTCTGCTTTCTCCGCCTCTAATGGGCCCATAAAGAACAAAATAAACACGTTGTATTCAATAAGACTTGAAACTAGCAACTGAGACCTGAAATCATCAAGAAAAGTATTTACTGAGGTTACACATCAAAGGAGCCAAGTGACTCCGGACTGTGATTTTTTCAGCTCACCAAGGCTTTCGGGTAGGGGTGGAGGACTTGCAGTGGTCTTTAGGAATAAATTCTGGATACGGCAGCTGTCCCCACCTATGTTTGCTAGCTTCAAAGCACAACTATTGGAACTTCCTGGTCCCCCCCTGGCTCTTTGTGTTGTGGACTTTTATCAATGATTTTGCTGACTTTTTAGGATCTATTTGCTTAAATTATGACCGTCTTCTTATTGCTGGTGATTTAACATTCATATCTGTTGGAAAGACGATAGGCTTGCCAAAGACTTTCTTGTTTTAGCTGATTCTTTTAATCTTACTCAGTGGGTAAATGCTCCAACTCACTCTAAAGGTCACACACTTGATTTGGTTTTCTCTCATGGAAAACCACATCCCAGTGTTGCTAGTGTCAGGGAAACTAGCAACACTGGGATTTCTGACCACTTTCCAGTCATTTTTGATGCTGATCTATGCGAAACTGATCTGAACCTTGGGGGCCCTCAACGCCTAGGCCATTTCATTGATTCTGGGACTGTGGCTGAACTTTCTGCGTTTTTCTCTGAATCTGTGCTCCCTGATACGGCTGGCATCACACAGTCTTTTTTTGATGACTTTGCCAACTCCCCACTTGCTATATGCACCTCCATACTGGACTCTGTGGCCCCTATAAAAGTGAAATGTCCTAGAAGCTGTTCCCGACCTTGGTTAAATGACTCTACACGTGCCCTACGCCGTACCTGCTGTCAAGCTGAGAGGCGGTGGAAAAAGGATAGGCTCCAGGTGTCCCTTGATATTTTACGCAGGACACGCTTGGAATTCCAGAAATCTGCTAAGATGGCTAAATCGGCTGTTCTGTCAGCCATCGTTACGAGTAATTGTCATAATCCACGCATTTTATTCAATATTTTTAACTCCTTGGTTAACCCTTATCCTGAAGCATCGTGGCTAGCTTCTTCGGCTCTTTGTGAGCAGTTCTTAAATCACTTCACTGATAAAATCTCCACCTCAAGAGCCTTAAAAGCTTTGGGGATGTGCCAAGCCCCCGCTTTACGCTGCTCTATGACACTTGCTCAGTTTGAACCAGTGTCACTTCCTACCCTTAAGGGAATTATTGATCGTCCAAAAAACTCAAATTCTGTTCACGACATTCTCCCATCTCGCATTATTAAGGAGGGATTTAATGTAATTGGGCCTTGTATATTATCACTAATCAATCTTTCCTTGTCAATGGGATGTGTTCCGGCTGCCTTTAAACATGCCGAAGTGAAACCTGTTCTTAAAAAGCGTTCCCTAGATCACTCAAATCTCGCTAATTACAGACCTATCTCGCAACTTCCGTTCCTGTCAAAAATCCTCGAGAAGATTGTCCTATCACAACTTCAGACCTATCTGAATGAGAATAACATCTGGGATAAATTTCAAACTGGGTTTAAACTGCGCCATAGCATGGAAACAGCACTTTTGAGGGTCTTCAATGATCTTCTTTTAATTACTGACTCTGGGCGCCCTGCCGTCTTAATTTTGTTGGACCTGTCTTCTGCTTTTGATCTGGTGGACCATAATATCCTGTTAATGAGGCTTGAACTTCTGGTTGGCATTACGGGTATGGCTCTTAGTTGGTTTAAATCCTACTTATTGGAGAAGTCCTTCTCTGTCATGATGGGTACCTACTCCTCTTCCATTGCCCCCATTAC